TCTACCTATATATATATATATATATATATATATATATATATATATATTATTATATATATATATATTATTATAGTTTCTCGGCACGTGCGTTGCACCTGTATGCCGAGTCATGTAGTACATGCTTTGTAAAATAATATTAATATTACTAAAATAAAGCTTTAAATAAATATTTTTACATAAAAAATAAAATAAAACTTTCTATGAATGTTCAATGTGTATCAACATATGGTGAGGTCAAAATAACTGATTATCCTTTAAAAAAAACCTACAAAGATGAATAATTCAAATTTAATTAGATATATGTGATCCTTTTGTTTACTTAATTTGATTTATAAAATACAAACATATAAAGAAGTGTATCTCATCTAATTCTTCCATATATACGATTTCCTGGTGTATATTCCTTTCATATGTTTCATTTGTTTAGACATACTTGCCATGGTTGTAGCATCTGTTTGAAAATGTATGGCATATTTAAAGTGAGTTGTACGACCTCATGAGAAATTTTGCAACCACTTCATAGATGTAGATTATACCTTTCATTTTGCAACATACTAATAGTTATTTTAAGGCATCAAAAATTATAATACCATAAGTCATTCTCTATTACTAACTTCAAACTTCAAGAAATATTTAAAACATTGTAGACAAAGGGTGTGTTTGGTATAACGGAAAATATTTTTCGTGGAAAATATTTTCTTGGAAAACAAGTAGTAATCTTATTCATTTTCCGGTGTTTGGTACGCAAATTAAGGAAAATGACTTCTTAAGAGTATTCATAAATAATTAGATATAATAACATGAAGCCATAAATTTTCAAACCAACAACCTTCCGAACCCACATTTTTCATAAACTTTCGAACCGCTAAACTTTCGAAACCGCAGAATTTCTAACCCGTAAACTTTATAATTTCTAAACCCGAAAACTTTCAAAAACCTCAGAACTCATAACTTTGGAACTTGTAAAATTTTGAACCTTTAAACCGATAAATAAAAAAGCTAATACTGAAAAATATATTTTGGGAGGGGAGGGGGGTAGGGACGGGGTGGGGGTGGGGGTGGGAGTAGAAAAACCAAAAAATAGAATTTTAAATTACAAAAAAAAGTAAATTTTTTATGGGGGAGCAGTTGGGGTGGGTGGTGCAGAAAAATAAAAAATAGAAATTTGAAATTGCAATAAAAAAACAATATTTTTTTGCGGGTGGGGGTGGGGGTAGGGTGGGGTGGGGTGGAGGGTAGTAAGGTGGGTGGTAACGGAAAAACTGAAATTAAAAAAAAAAGTGTTTTTTGGAGAGAGGGGGTGGGATGGGTTGGTGAGAGTAGGGAAGGTTGAGAAGGAGTTTTGGAAAATGTTTTCCCTTCTCTTGATAAGGAAAATATTTTCCTCCAATTGGAGGAAACTGAGTTCATAAGAAAAATATTTTCCAAAACATTTAAGCCAACCAAACATGGAAAAATTGGAAAATATTTTCCGGAAAATGTTTTCCTTCATACCAAACACACCCAAAGTAGTAACTCTTTTATTCCATGAAACATGAAAAAAAAAATTGAATGAACCTTACCTCCCTTTTGTATACGGTAAAATCGTGTGTCCCCGATTTTGTGGGCTCGAGGGCTTACATCGAGGAACAGACTCAATATGGGCCAAGTTCGAGCCCGAGGGCAGAACATAAGGCTCGGAGATCGAAGTACTCGATGAGCACCGAAGCCGAGTATGGCCAACCCCGAGATGATGCCATTATGGGTTTGTAACAGAAAGAGCAAGATTCCCGCCATGTCCCCAAGATCATGGCGTAAATTCTGGAATAGATACGAATCCGTACTAGGCGGTTAGACAGTTGTCCCAATAAGATTCTTTAATGTAAATAGAAATGTACCTTATTTAGGGTTCCCCTACTATATAAAGGGGACCCCAATCATTTGTAACGATCATCAATCATTGGCAAAAGAATATACTCTCTTATTTTCTTGCTCATTACTAATCATAATTATCTCTTCACTTTATTGTCTTTACTTTATTGTTCTTGCTGACCTACCTCGAGGCCATCTAGCTCGAGGTCAAAACTTGCTTAAGCACTGGTTTGATTCAACTTTCTTCTTTGATTTATACATCTGATTTCTTGATTAATAATTAGTATTGAACTAAAACACGTATCTTTTAAACCACAAACAAGTTTAATTGTTACTCGTATTTTCGAGGTAAACAGTTTGACGCCAACCGTGGGGCTAAAGATAATAGTGATTATTTCAGTACTGATTCTGATAACACACGTTATTTTCACACTTATTCTTGTCAAGAATTTTTGTTCTTAGGTTAAAACATGTCAAACTCACAAAATGCACCCGTACACGGCGATGACGGTCTGGGATTTCACGGGGAAAACAACAATGTAATCGCTCTGGGAGCCGGTGTACCACCTACTAACCCTGGGGAAGTGCCAAATGTGGAACCAGTTAATGTTAGTTCACACATTGCTTTGAATGCGGATTTAGGCGCAGAACCCGGAGGAAGTGTGCGCAGGGAAGTCCGATCTGGTGTCCAAGGGACGCAGGGTATAAGAGATGGGAGAGTTAGCCTCCAAATAATATTCGAAATGCTACAAGCTCAACAGGTTTCTATCGCTCAACTTCAAAGTCAGCATAAACTCCAAGTGTGGTCAAACCAGAAATCACTCGCCGTACTGAGCCGGTACCTGAAAGATCAAATGGTAATAGCTCGGGACTGACCCCACGATTATGAGGATGCTCGAAGAACTCACCAAAAGAATCGAGTTGGGTGAGAAAAAGATTGAGGATAATGACAAAAAGGTGGAGACGTATAAGTCCTGTGTCGATCAAATACCGGGAGCACCCCCGGTCTTGAAAGGATTGGATGCCAAGAAATTCGTACCAAAGCCATTCCCTCCGAGTGCGGCTCCGAAGCCTATTCCTAAAAAGTTCCGTATGCCCGATATACCTAAGTACAACGGGATGAGCGATCCTAATGAACACATTACCTCGTACACTTGCTGGATTAAAGGAAACGACTTAAATGATGATGAGATCGAGTCGGTTTTGTTGAAAAAATTTGGGGAAACTTTGTCAAAAGGAGCAATGATTTGGTATCACAACTTGCCACCGAATTCTATTGATTCGTTTGCTATGTTAGCAGAGGCCTTCGTAAAGGCACACGCTGGGGCCATAAAGGTTGTGACAAGGAAATCAAATGTTTAAGATAAGACAGAGGAATGATGAGATGCTAGGGGAGTTCGTATCCCAATTTCAAATGGAACGAATGGAATTACCACCGGTCTCGGATGATTGGGCCGTGCAAGCTTTTACACAGGGTTTGAACGAGCAGAGTTCGATCGTGTCACAACAGTTGAAGCAAAATATGATCGAGTATCCAACTGTGACTTGGTCAGATGTACATAATCGTTACCAACCGAAGATCACGGTCAAGGACGACCAATTGGGAGCCCCCTCGGTTTCAGTTCATCCTAATAGATTGGCAGTAAAGGCCCCGAGGGATACAGATAGGGAATCGAGATCAAATAGGGAACGGTATCAGCCATATGTCGTAGATCGAAGAAACAACGGTTCGGGGCACAACCTTCCTCATAATGATCGAAGAAATGATTGAGGTCAAAATTCTCGGGGACTTATGAGTAAGAATGGTTTTGATAAACATACCGATCCTGCAGAAGCACCTCGGCTATCGGAGTATAATTTCAGTGTTGATGCATCGGGGATCGTATCGGCTATTGGAAGGATCAAAGACACCAGGTGGCCCAGGCCTATACAAACCGATCCCTCTCAAAGAAATCCAAATTTGATGTGTAAATATCATGGCACGCATGGCCATAGGACAGAAGACTGCAGACAACTGAGGGAGGAGGTAGCTCGATTGTTCAACGAGGGTCATCTTCGAGAGTTTATCAGTGATCGAGCTAAGAACCACTTCAGAGAGAGAGAGAGAGACGCCAACAAAAAGAATGAGCAGGAAGAGCCACAGCATGTTATACAAATGATCGTTGGTGGGGCCGATGTTCTACAGGGGCCTATATTCAAACGTACCAAGGTGTCGATTACCAGAGAAAAATGAACTCAAAGTTATGTGCCCGAGGGCATCCTATCATTCAATGATGAGGAAGCGGAAGGCATTTCTCAGCCACACAATGACGCCCTGGTAATTTCTATTTTGTTAAATGAAATTCAAGTTAAACGTGTTCTTGTGGATCCGGGTAGCTCAGCAAACATAATAAGATCGAGGGTCGTAGAGCAGCTCAGCCTGCAGGACCAAATTGTACCCGCGTCTCGAGTCTTAAACGGCTTCAACATGGCAAGTGAAATAACGAAGAGGGAGATAATCCTGCCAGTAAACGCGGCCGGGACCATCCAATACAAAATTCCATGTCATTGAAGGCGAAATGAGATATAACGCACTACTCGGGAGGCCATGGATCCACAACATGAGGGCAGTACCTTCAACCCTTCATCAGATGATGAAATTCCCAACAATCGATAGTGTGAAAACAGTTTACGGGGAACAACACACTGCAAAGGAAATGTTTGCAGTCGATGAGGTGATATCGGTACCAACACCTTCAATCTCGAAAAAATCGAGCACCAAAGATAAGCAAACGGCCAAATAACAATCACCGTCCCCAGAACCGAATCGGAGAAACAAGTAATCGAAGAAGAAGAGGAGGATTTCCTCACTCCTCAAACTTTCGTTGTTCCCGAAGAGTCAGATGCAACCAAGTCAACGGTCGAGGAGCTGGAACAGGTCATACTGATCGAGTATATGCCCAAGAGAAAGGTATACCTGAGAACGAGGTTAACCCCCGAACTTAGGAAAAAACTCATTCAATTTCTTATCGATAATATGG